AATCAGATACTACACGTAGGTGTAATGCAATATACTAGACGCAAATATTTAGTGCGTTTATGGCTTTACACCAATTTAGTTCTCATTATAATTCAGTAGGCCGTCAGAGCCGGATGTCTTAAACCCGCTTACTGATAATCTACCTGAAAAGACCTTTTTCTGGTAAAAGCACAGGGCAGTACTGTCTCAACCGTCCATGGCACGTGATATGGTTTGCATTTGCTAAGTTTTCTGAAGGGTCAACTGTAAAGTAATGTAGTTAAGAATCGAAAGTTTTTCAGTTTAAATCAACCAATATTGTCAAAATTCGAAACGATTCTATCAGGAAAACGTCATAAGCTCGAAAGTTTTTCGAAAAGCCTGATCATGTTGATCAGCGTCACTTCGTATCAAACACACTAGATTAAAAGACTTTATTACGTCACTTGTTAAGTGATCATGATCAATCATCGGCAGTGTGGAGGGAAAAATAAAAGCTCTAACGGCGTTTCATTTTGTCTTGACTTCCGTCAAATCATTATTTGTTTTAGTACTCGTAATTACGGAAGTCACTTGGTATTATCTTACTGTGACCTTACGGATTAAATGAAGTAATCCTTTTGATTCCGGCTGCCAGAGTTCTTTTTCAGTTTTATGGGTCCTTTCCTTATCTAGTTTTTAATTTTTCTCCAAAACAAACATTGTGATGTTACTTAATAATAAAATAAATATTTATCTGGTATAACTATCTGAGTCATACTCATGTAATGAGTCATGATGAGATTATGTCAGTCTTATTTATTTTGAGTATTTCGTTATTGCGATAAAATGAGCACCTTTAGAACACTGATTAGAAAAACCTAAGTTGTAATACATTAAAAGAAACAAAAATCTCTATAAGAAGAGACTTATCTTCCAGTTTCTATATATGGTAAATATCTAAAGCATTTTGCGTTTAGAATTTCTGGGTCAAATTTTTTATTTAAAATATCGAAAATGTTACCATCTGGCCTACAGGTTTTAAGTTTTTGTTAAATATTGTAGAATTGTAGTATTCTCTAGAAGTCCAATAGTAAATAAACAATATTTTCTGACAATTTTTTCATAATTTTATTAAGTTTTCATAGTTTGATGATCATGATTGGTTCCTCCCAAACAAAAATTGTGTGTATATGTTTTTAGAACTTAAACAAATAAAATTAGTTTTTAACACTCAATAAATTTTAGAACAATTTTTTGTGACAGCTAAAAAAAATTGAAAAATCCATGAATTTTGCTCGTAGAATAAACTGCAATATTCGATTACAGCATACGTAATATACATGCGTCACAAATAATACGATATAATGAATTGCACATTTCAGTTTTAACAACACATTTAATGTCGTCAACTTGACCACGGATATAGGTACAGTCTAGTTCTTGAAAAATAAAATTATTTTAAAAAGGCATACATTAATACATTATTAGTGTAAAAGTTGAATTATATCTTATGTACATTTATTATATATTATGTAATATAATTTTTGACAGGTAGGTAAAGTGTATCAGACATCACAGGTATCGACGAGACACTTTGTAGCTATGACAGTCTTATAATATTCTGCCGAATCTTTTATAGTTCTAGTGCGATTGGGACTATCAAAATCAACTTGGTACAATCCATATTTTACTCTGAAATATTTAATATAAATATTTTACTTTTATAGGGCAATTTGTTAAGTTACGTGTATCCCAGCAACCATTCAAAGTTGTCTACTAAACTCCACACGGTATAACCTGTAACATTAACATTGTCTTCTAATATCGCCAGTAGAACATTGCTCATATATTCCTAAAATATTTTGTTTTAGATTCAGTTTATAATTAAATAATTGCACTTGTTTTGTACCGAAAGGTAATAAATTCTTTGAGGATCATTTAACTCTCCATCATCATCGGGGTACCCATTTTCAGTTATAAAGATTTCTGGATGGTTGTAGGTTTGGTCTACCCAGTTAATTAGTTTCCTTATGCCCCATGGTACGATCTTCAAACCGGGACTTGCTGATCCATTCCATGATGGATCTTGATAAGTATTAACGCTAACGTCAGCATCCCAACTGGGATTTCCTATAGCAAAGTCTTCTGTCCAGTTGACTAGATTTGTTGAATAGCTGTTAATACAAAAAAAAATCATATGTGCCTTTAATGTATTCAATTTCGTCTGGTGTAAATTCTGGGAGACGAGATTTAGAGAATCCTTCTTGTTTACTTCGTTCAGCTATACGATCTATCATAACCTGCGGATAGTTACCATCAGGATGATAAATGGGATTTGCATACCATCCAAACTAAACATAGTAGTGAATAAAGAAATGTAATTTGACATTAAATTTGAACTTACATTAAACTGACGTAGTCTTTCCGTCGCTTCTTTGTCCTCATCACTATCACTACCGGGTTCATACCAAGGGGTGTCAATAACAATGGATACTCGACCGTTCTGCTCATTTCTAAACTCTTCGTCATAAATGTGATACGCTTTTGCATGGGCTTTGATAATAGTATGTGCACACATATAGTCACCAATACCATCTGTTGCATAACCTGGCGGAAAATAACCATACCCATGTCCATATTGACAAGGTTGTTTTGGTTCATTAAACGTCATCCAGTTTTTCACTTCATCACCAAAAAGTGTAAATACTAATCTAGCATATTCTGCAAAGTAATCGACGAGTAGGGGATTGGGCCATCCCCCGATGTCTTGAAGAGGTTGTGGGAGGTCCCAGTGATAAAGCGTTACAAAAGGTTCGATGTCATTTTCTTTTAAGGAACTGATTAAATTTTTATAGTAGTCGACCCCTGCTTGATTTATTTGGTTAACTTGACCCGTGGGTAAAATTCGAGACCAAGACAAAGAGAATCTGTAGTGGTTGACCCCTAAGTACGCCATGAGTTGTACATCTTCGAGATACTTGTGGTAAGAATCGCAAGCAATATCACCATTTTGGTAAGCCGCCATGTAGGGTTTCTCGTGGAGGAAACGATCCCATACATTTTCACCTTTGCCGTCTTCGTTCCATGCTCCCTCTATCTGGTATGCAGCTGTGGCTACACCAAAGTGAAAATTTTCGGGAAACTTTTTGTTGATTGGTTCTCCATTGGTTTGTCTGTGCAGATAAACAAGTTATCTAATTCAAAGCAATTACTGAATAATTTTACTATTACCTTGACAAAAAGCAGACCAGGAAAGTATAAAAGATACTATGCTTCATTGTTATAAACTTGACTAAATCTTTACGTTTCTGGTTTTGCAACGTATTTGCTTATAAACACTTAATTCTGAGTACTTATCACTGTTTGTTCAATTAGTTAAGATAGAATAAGTGAAAACATTTATCAGGAGTAGTGTCCCGAGTGTACTTAAAATAAATGATAAAATTTTGATGCTGTTTGCGAAACCACTTTGTCAAGAGATACAAGTGAAATTTGTCAGACAAGGGCGGGGTCGTTGCAGGATTATGCAACTTTAATAGTGGAGAAAAGTGTTTCATTTAAGAATTAGAATAAACTTTGATTGTCCTCCTTTTGCAATCCGATGTCTTAAAATAAAACGAGTGTGCTTAAAACTGAAAAAACTACTGTTTTCTGAAAAGAAGTGACTTAAAATAGATTTGGGTAGTTTCTTTTACTAAAGTAATGCTTTTAAATGGGAAAATGGAAGCAATTATATTTCTAATTCCGTTCCAAAGTTTCTAACGACCATCGTCGACTGTCGTAATACAATAAAAAATATACATGTTTCTGGGAATTTTGTAAAATTGATTTGATATACATACAGAGTAAGCAATAATTGCTTTCGACTGACATTTGGCTATGCTACACGGATATTAAAAATTGATAGCGTCAAAACTAGATATTAAATTATAATTTTTGATGAAGGGAGCCAAGTTAAGAAAATAAAATCCCATCAATTGAAACATGAATTAGTAATTACATTTACCATAACCTTTTTGAGAAAGTTATTAAATTTTTAATACATGATTTAATAAAAACAAGTTAACAAAAATAAATTGCCATGCTTTTACAACATTTTATATTCTACAAGAATTTATGGTTTTTTTGTAATCGAAGAATAGGGAATTTTATTTATCATACGTTCTATTTTATATTTACAAACACCAGGTGATTATATACGAGTTTCGCTTCTATTTTTAATTGTTTTGCGTATGGTGACATTTAGTTACGGATTTTAGATAATATTGATTGTCAAGTGTTTAGCACGGCGTTTGAGTGGTGTTATTCTTTTTTAATCTTAAGTATTAAATAAATAAAATAAAAAATAAAGTGCTTTTAAAAAAATCCAATTCAACAGCTGTTTTGTAGCAGATGAAACCAGTTAAAATTGATGTTTATCTTAAATTTTATTATTAAATAGGAGTGTTACTTTAATTGATAAATAAATCAACCTTTTTCGAAAGTTTGGAATTTTTCACTGTTTGGTTATTTGCAATTGCGATTTAAGCCATTTTGAAAATAGTGTTTGGGTTTACATCATAAGCACCTAAAATATAACAGCAGTTAGCAGTGTTGGGCAGTATCTAGATACTTGTATCTAAATAAAGTATCTAGATACATTTTTGGGTATCTAGTATCTGTATCTAGATAAAATCGAATTTAAGCACAAAATATCTGTATCTAGATACAAAAGTAATGGCGCAGATACACAGATATTTTTTTATTTCACTTTTTTTTCAGTAGTTATTAGTTGAGTTATACTAGTACTAATTTTTGATACTTCATGTTGGTGATTTTGGTCACATAAACAAAAATAGAGGTAAGAGGTCCACTAATTGTGTTCTGTCACGGAAATTTTCATATTTTAACACTTTCAGTGCCTATCACGCACATGCTGAGTGATGCTGGGATTCGGCGCCAGGCCGATCACGCACACGCTACGTTAAGCGCGCGCACCTCTAAAATGTGGCGCGACAGCTGTTGGCTTGCTTTAAGTGCAGTTTGGTCTGTGTCGGCCTTTTGCGAACAGCAACTAAACGTTCTTTTCTCTTGCGGTTTCTCGATTAAATCTTTTTAAAAAAATTTACATCGACAATGAGTAGTGAAAGTGTTTCGGGTCCTCCATCAACTAAAACATCTGATGAAGCCATGCCTGGTCCTTCCGGAATTAAAAGGAGGAAAGTTGAAGTGAAAAATCCACAAGCGTTAACGGATGAAGAACTTGCTCGCTTTTTTGAGCTTTCTGACACTAGCGAAGATGATGGCTCCTCAGAAGAAGAACATGATTGGTACAACATAAGTAGCGATGAAGGAGATTTACAAAGTAATGTGCAAGATCCATTTGCAGAGCTTGCAGACCCGACAAAGCCTGCAGATCCTGATGATTCTGCACAAGTGCTCGATGTTACATGGAGTGATGCGCCTCTAAAACATCGAAAAAATTTATTTTTCACAGGACACACGGCGCTGAAAATACAGCCAAATGGAAATACTCCTGCTGATTTTTTTAATCTGCTAGTGACGGATGAACTTTATAATGACATCTTGCAGCAAACTAACGCGTACGCCGAAGAGGTGTTTTTGTCTTCATCTGGATATGAGAAAGCCCGAATTACCCAATGGAAACCTCTGACAAAAGAAGAATTTCGTGTGTTTTTGGGTTTATTCTTCCATATGGGAACTATTCACATAAACAGGTTACAGGACTACTGGCGCACCCACCATTTGTTCAATTTAGTTTGCTTCTCGCAGCGTATGTCTAGAAATCGATTTTTATTGATTTTACGATGCCTACATTTGGCGAAAAATCCCTTACCTGATAAAACCGCTCCCCTGGATAAACTACACAAGATTCGACCAATTGTCGATTATTTTAATAAGAGAATGTTTGAGGTCAGTCATTTCTTCATACTATAGAGTAGCATAATTACATTTTACGTTGTTTTAGGTTTATTCACCGAGCCGGGAACTCAGTATAGACGAATCTCTTCTCGCGTGGAGAGGCCGTCTTGGTTTTCGTCAATATTTACCAGGCAAGGCCCATAAATATGGAATAAAAACATATGTATTGGCTGAACCAAACGGGCTTACTCTAAAACTGTTGGTCTACAGTGGAGCCAAAGACATTACAGGTGGAGTTGGGCATGCATCGAAAGTAGTGCTGCAACTTATGAGGGAACATTTCGATAAGGGGCACAGTCTTTTTATGGATAATTTTTATAACAGTCATTCTTTGGTACAAAAATTGTTGGAAAGAGCAACATACTGTACAGGTACGCTACGAGCAAATAGGAAAAACAATTGTCGCGACGTAGTAAACACAAAATTGAAACCAGGAGACGTAATAGCAAAATGCGATGAATTGAATGGTATTATAATGGGCAAGTGGCGCGACAAAAGGGAAGTGACATTCATTAGCACCGAGTATAGTGCTACTCTACAGGAAACACAAAACCGAAGAGGTCAGAAGAAAATGAAGCCAGAGGCCATAATTTACTATAATAAATTCATGTCGGGAGTCGAACATAAGGACCAAATGTTGGCGTACAATGCTTGTGACAGAAAGACCATAAGGTGGTATAAGAAACTTGGTCTCCACACCTTACAAATATTACTTCTGAATGCTTGGTATTTATACAATAAATACTCGGGACTGAGGGCCAACTTTTACGACTTCCGGCTTAATATTATAGAAAATCTTGTGGGCGGAACAAAACAAGAAAAACCAAAGAAGGCGGTACCTGAAGGGGTGCATTTACCTGCTTCGCTACCTAAAGCGGAGGCAACAAAGGGAAGAGTGCAGCGAAAAGATTGCAAAGTTTGTTACCAGAATAAAATTAGAAAACAGACAAATTTCTATTGCCCGAAATGCAAAGATAAACCAGGCCTGTGTTTAGAACCCTGTTTTCGTATATTTCATGGATACGATAAATAGATTTTAATACTTGTTTTTTTGTTAGTAGTTTTTTATTGTATGGATTAGATATTAAGTTAATGGTTAGGAATTTGAAAGTAGGTAAAAAAAATTGATTTGTATTTCTATTTTTTGACTCAAAATTTATATATGTTACAGCTAATATCCGAAATACGTTATTATGCATAATAACTAGATATTTTAGGAATTATGCGTAATAACTAAACTTGTCAGTTATTATGCATAATAACCGGAAACATTAGGAATTATGCGTAATAACTGAATTTTTTAGTTATTATGCACAGTAACGGAAACGTTTAGGTAATATTGATAATAACTAACAGAGGAACAGGAATTATGCATAATACCTGAAACATTAGTCATTAAGCATATTGCCTAATAGGCCAGGGCCGATAAATTTTGAGAACAAAAAAATTTAGAACAGGATGATACCCATTGCAAAAGGAAGAAAATATAACAAAAATAAAAGGAAAAATAATTTACAGGCGATTTGAGGTCGGAAAGTGGAAGAGGATGAGCTTTTAAGGGTAGAAAACGGTTTATCACGATTTTCGGCAAAACCACAAGTCCTATCGAAAAAAGTTAAATCGCAAAGTTCTAAGTAATAAAAGGATCTACAACTTTTGTATTTAGACTTTTTTTACATAACCTCAAAATTTATGCGAAAAATGCAAATAACCGAGTTTTTGGTTTTTTATTTTTATCTCCCACAAAAAGTTTTTTTTTCACGAAATTTGGTGAAAACTTACCTATTTATGTCCCAAACTCACTATAATTTTTTTGTTTCAAAATATTTATTTTTCCCCCTTATTTTGTTTAATATCAAAAAACGACCCTAATTTTCAATTGAAAATTCTCACGTCAAAATGTTTGCTTTTTTAAAAAAAATCGGTGTGCTTTTTGTTCATTTAAATCTCTACTTTCTGATGGTGTAAAAAAAGTATAAATCACTATATTTTCACAGGAAATCCAAAAAAACGAAAAACTCGAATTCGCATTTTTTTTTGATTATATAAAATTTTGAGCTATTTATTAAAATTTACAATTTAATTACTCGAGAAAAGTAAGATTCCATGTAACACTGATAAACTCCAAAATTTAAAATCCAGTTGGTAGGAGATTTGTCAATATGAAAGATGATTTAATTTTTGCCAATTGATTTTCGAAATCTTAATTGATTCAGTGTTATATTGTCATTTTTACATTTATAAATATATTTGATTAATTGTAATCCATTTTTTGCTATATCTTCTTTGTTTGCATGTTTTTTATAAAAAATATTGGCCACATTTGACAAATTTTTATCGTCTAACTAGCAGACCCAGCAAACGTTGTTTTGCCATATAAATTATTTCTAGTGAATATTTTAGTAGTTAAATAAAAAATTAAATCAAAATAAATAAATTATATGTAATTAAATTAAATTATAAATTATACATAAAAATTTATCGTACGACAATAATGATTATATTCAACAGCCATCTTGAACCCTATCTGTGGATGAAAGTAAAGATACTAATATCGTTACTACAAAATGGGAGTTGGTGGTAGAAGGGTGAAAATTTAGGGTTATATGTATTTTTTGAAGCCAATCTTAAAAAAATAAAAATGACAAATTTTGTACGAAAAATAAAAAAAAAATTTTTGAGTGGGCCACCCTTATCACCTAGGGGTATAAAAAAGAGTTTACGACCTATTCTCAGACCTACCGAATATAGACAGAAAATTTTATAAAAATCAGTCAAACCGTTTCGGAAGAGTTTGGTTACACACACTGTGACACGAGAATTTTATATATTAGAAAAATTTACGGTGTTTTTCTTTCCATTTCCGGCAAACCCAGATCACAGCATAGATAACAATCAGTAGAGACAGCTCGTGTCGGCGCCTTTGTTCTTTCTGACCCGAATTTTAAGCCGTCATGGGTGGTCGTTGCCTAAACTATTCCTAGATGTCGCCACCCAATTTAAAAAGTATCACTTCATTTACAATTTCAAAAATTGAATCGTGTACGCAATTTATTGCAAACTGTCTAGTTTGCTCAAATCGTATAATCGTGAATCGCAATAAGAAAAAAGAAAAGTCCATATTTAATTTATAAACACGATGATTTGTTACAGTTTTTATTTTATTCATAACCACCGTTGTTGTTCGTTTGCGACGACTTTTTAAACAAAAAATGTGTTGTTTACTATCTTTTCCAAGAATTCCAAACACGAGGGAGTGAATAAGGCGCACAACAGGGATCCGGTATGAAAATTCATCGGACAAAGATGTTACCTTTTATTGCGAAAATTACATTTTTATACTATTTGTACAATTCTACCGGAAAAGCAGTCTTAAACAAGCAAAACTGGCAAAAATATTGTAACAAAACTGCCAAATTTCAAATATTTTAGACGTCAGTTGGGCGCCCTCATTCGGTCATAATGCGAACGACCACCCACGAAAACGGGTCACGAAAAACGGCGAGCCGTCTCTACTGATTGTTATCTATGCTGTGCCCAGATGTTGTATCGCAACCAGAAAAACAATACTGAAATGCAACGATAATTTTGAAAGATTCATATTTGAAACTATTGAATGTGAAAAATAGATCTTTTACATTTCCAGAACCTGGTTTGAGAAGATAAATGTCATAATTTAGTATTTGAATTCAATTGATTCAAAAGGACCAAAATATCTTGACCCACAACTATGACAATTTTATTAGTATCTCTGGCAGTTTCTATCGAGATCTTAATTATGTCAGAATCAGCATCTTTTTCGACTTGTTTACAGGAAAATCCTTGTGACTGTAGATTCCAAAAGTTTCTTTTAAATAAGTCAATTCGTCACGATTGTCTTCAAGTAACTCAGCCTGCACGTGTATTTTTATAGACGATGTTGTTCATTCTTCTGATGGGCTAAAATTTTCCGTAGGCCATTCAGGTATGTAAGTTATCTTAAAAGAGCAATAAATACGCACCTATGCATATAATTTAAAAATTATCCTATAACTTTAACAAAATATTGTAGATGTCTTATAAAGTATTAAGTGTATTCACTTACTTGGTTGTTAATTATAGTAGTATATTTCGATTTGCAATTTTTTAATTTATCAATGTAACATGGAATATTATGTTTTTCGAGTAATTAACGTGTACCTTTTAATAAATAGCTCCAAATTTTAAATAATAATTAAAAACAAATTTTTGAATTCGAGTGTTTTCGTTTTTTTGCATTTCCTGTGAAAATTTGCCATAGTAATGTATAATTTTTTTTTACACCTTCAGAAAGCAGAGATTTCAGCGAATAAAAAGCACACCGATTTTTTTAAAAAAGCAAATATTTTGACGTGAGAATTTTCGATGGAAAATTAGGGTGGTTTTTCGATATTAAATCAAAATAAGGGATAAAAATAAATATTTTGAATCAAAAAAATTACAGTGAGTTTGGGACATAAATTGGTAAGTTTTCACCAAATTTCGTTAAAAAAAATTTTTGTGGGAGATAAAAATAAAAAACCAAAAACTCGGTTATTTGCATTTTTCGCATAAATTTTGAAGTTATGTAAAGAAAGTGGTAATACAAAAGTTATAGATCTTTTTATTACCTACAACTTTGCCATTTAACTTTTTTCGATATTTTTGCCGGAAATCGTGATCCCGTTTTCTACCCTTAAAAGCTCAACCTTTCCCTCTTCCGGACCTCAGATCGCCCGTAAATTATTTTTCCCTTTATTTTTGTTATATTTTGTTGATTTTCCAATGGGTATCATCCTGTTCTAATTTTTTTCACTTTTTACCATTTTCAAAGGCTTCGGCACTGACCTATAACATGTCCAGCTGATTTCAAAAAAACGGGACAAGATGAGCAATTCAGGTTCTCATAGATCAATGAAAAGCAATGGGAATATGACGTTTATATAACTGTGATTTGTCCCTTTTTTTAAATCAAATGTACATGTGATATGCAGGGGAAAACGAGGCAGGCTGGGTAGCTTTTTGGAAAATATTATGCATAATTCCTGTTCCTCTGTTAGTTATTATCAATATTACCTAAACGTTTCCGTTATTATGCATAATAACTGAAAATTTCAGTTATTACGCATAATTCCTAATGTTTCCGGTTATTATGCATAATAACTGATTAGTTTAGTTATTATGCATAATTCCTAAAATGTCTAGTTATTATGCATAATAACGGATTTCGGATATTAGCTGTAACATATACATATTTTTTATAACGTTTTAATAAATAATTCTTTTTTAATTGATTTTTGTTTTAGCTTCTGAAGGTGAAAAAATAAAATTTTATTATCACGCAGCCTGTGCGAGATCGGCCGGTGACTAGAATTTCTTTCCGAGAGGCCGATCACGCACATGGTGAGTGATGAGCGCTTTTTGCTATCCTAACGTCAAATTAAGATTAAAATATTTTTTTTTACCACTTTTAACAAAAATCAACACAATCGGACCTAAAAAAGGTAACCGGCAATTGAGATATTACTTAAAATATACATCGGCCGTGAAAGTGTAGCCTTCAGTACTTATACTTCTTTAAATATAATCCTGAGGGGAAATAAATCTAAGCCATGGTTAAGATGGTATTTTAAAAATCATAAACCACAATTCACTATTCACTGCGTTTTACGCTTGTCGGGGCAATGCATTTTATCTGTGTATGTACCTGAGCAACCCGGGTCCGATAGGCCCGCTGATTGTATTTGTGTTATTAAATAAGAGTAATTTTAATGTAAAAATATTTGTTTAAGATATTATTTTTAGAAAATAATAATTGCGTGTTACATAATGATTAATTTTTTCAATTAGCACAAATTAGTTCTGTAATCGACTAATCGAATGTTCAATACATACATTTCTCTCGCATAAATCGCATATTTGTTACTGTTTTATATCTTTATTTTTCAGACAAATGTAACATCTTTTCCTGTTGCCACATGTGTCATTTCTTCACTTTTTCATTGTTGGACCTAACGCGAGGCGGGCTTGGCAGGTCCGTTTTGCCCTAGAATGTGCCGATTATGTTTAAGTGTAAATGTTGGGCAATAAAATTAATATTTTTACAACCCTC